GTGTAATGTCACATTGGGTGCTTTTGTAGCACAAATGTAGTTAGAAATCTTTAATCATAGGAATTCTTTCTAAAAGCCATACTTTCTCTAACTTAGCTAGTGCTAGGTTGAAGAGATTCACCAGCTTGATCAAATAATTTGTCTGACCCCTCACTCAAATTTAGTCTAAAAATGAGAAGACTATTATTCTTTAGATTAATTTAGGTTTTTTGTAATAAAGTTTCTACTATGATATTATATTAATAAAAAAAAAAACTTTCACATAAATGAAAAGTGTAAAAGTGAATTAACAAAAGTTCTTCAGTTTATATAAAAATTTCAGAATATATACAATTTATTATTTTAGACAACTTTATTTTTTTTTTTTTGGTATTAAGGTGAGGTCCTGCTCATATCTTTATTGATTTTTTAGACAACTTTATTTAAGATATAAATATTAATTAACATATATAATTTTTGACTTTAATATATAGCTATGATTATTGATTATATTTTAATTTGTTTGGTGGCAAATTCAGATGGCCAAAGGGCAATAGAATAAAAATTAACCTATGTTAAGTTATTTGAATCTTGAAATGACCCAATGACTCATTATTTGTCATTTTGGTCATTTGGGTCATTTCAGGTTATTTATTATCACTATTATATATTGGTTGAAATAACCTTGACAAAAAGCTATAGTACTTATAGAATAACACAAATAATAAATTAAAACATACTACTACAAATAAATTTGTAAAACTACAAAGTAGGCATCAAGCAATTCTCACTAGATCTGATATGTAATATATTAGTATAATGCAATATAAAATGCTCATTTTTAACCCCTTTTAAACAATACAGACATCCTTATACAATAAAAATTTTTTTTGTATTTTTATAAATTCTGTCTTTGTTTATTTTTTATTTACATTATTTTTAATGTATTTTAACAATATTTATCTGTAGCTTTCATCTTTTACTTTTTGACATACTTTACAGTTTTATCTTTTATCAGTTTTGTCACTTTTCGGCAGTTTTATCATTTAAGATTTTAATTGATGAAAGATAAAACTAAGTTTCATCTTTCATCAGCACAAAACCTCAAGGCTTCATTTAACAACTATACTAATATTACAACTTCTATTTTTTATATACTTTGACCAAAGGTCAATTACACATAAAGATTATTGGTAAATGTATGAATGAATAAAAATAAATAATATCACCTTTGATATCAATTTTGTACAAAAGGACATTTAATTTCGTACAAAGACATTCAAATTTGTACAAAGTGGCAATTAATATAAGTTTGGTTGAATTGTAATATCTTGTAGTCTAGAGATCTGATTTGAGTAATTTTAGAACCATTCAAATCCTCTTGATGAGGTGATTTAAAGAATGTCAAATTGGATTAGATTATGAGATATCACAATTTTATCAAATCTATTTTAATTGTCATTTTATACAAATTTGAATATCACTTTGTACAAATTTAAATATTCTTTTGTATGAAATTGATGTTAAAAAAGATATTACGTGTAGTATAGCTATTTTATTATGCAGCAGATATCAAATTTATGGATATATTATATTAATTGTAAAGGTTACATTATATTAGGCTCAATTATAATTATTTTTTTTGAAAATTACTAGGTCAATATGCAGTTTCTAAAGAGTTAAAAATGCTGTTTTTTGTGATAGATCTAGAAATATGTAAATCATAGATTTTTCAAAAATCCTATATATGATACATACACATCTTATATAGAATAGGATTACAAATTTGCAACCTTTTTGATTTTTGTGTTTAATAAAAAAACCATGTAGAATTTATTAATGAAAATTAATTTTCTTATGCATTCTTATTTATTATAAATAAAAAATTTTAATATGAATTTTGCCTATATATAAAATTTAAACATAAAGTAATTTAATCTTATTGATTTTATATTGAAATATTTCAAACATTTAGAATTTTAATTAATTCAGATTTTGCTAAATTTTTTATAAATAATAAAATTAAAAAATTAAATAAAGAAATAAATTAATTATTTTATTAAACAAAAATAAAATATAAAATAATACATATACTTACAATAAATTTCAAAAGATAGGAAAAATTGGAATTTTAAAATTTGAAATAGATTTAATAATGGTTAGAAAATTGAGAACAAATTCTCAATTATTGGTAATTTTTTGATTTTTGATAGTAGAAAAGCGAAATATAGATATAAAAATTTTAGTATGATAAAAATTTAATTTTACATTCATGCATTGTAAAAATAAGTAAAAAAATTATCAACACATCAAACTTGTAAATGAAGAATTTTTTTATTTATGAAGATGACACCGTTTACGAATACAGGAATATAAAAAATAATAATAAATAAATAATGTAAATAGCAGTTCCATATATAATCTTTTACAATTTTAACATTAAATTTTTTTCCGCGTCTCAGAAGTTGAAATTCAAAAAAATAGAAAATCCAAAGTAAAAACAATACTGTCAGGTCCTATTAATGTATAAGTACAGATTTTTCTAGAACATTAAATAGATAATACTGTGTCTATAATTCACTTCCAAAAACCTGAGCCCAAAAACCATTTATATGCCCTGCTCCAAAATGAGTATATTTTGGATTGAGCATGTTTGTTTTGTGACCGTGAGAACTCATCCATCTGTAATATAAAGAAGGTTAAAAATTAGAGTATCAACATTATAATAAAACTTATTATAAATTATATTATCTACCCTCTTACAACTGCCTCTTCATTTTTATATCCCTCAGCAACATTCTCGGCACAGCCAGACCATGAATATCCTTGAGCTTCAATCCTAGTACCAAGATCACCAGATTTACTAGAGTGCGTGCAAGAATTGCATGATGCCATAAATTCCGATTGTAGTTGTGCAGCTTTTGCCAAACGGCTAATAATGGAAATTTATGTGTAGTAGTATGTTTTAATTTATTATTTGTGTTATTCTATAAGTACTATAGCTTTTTGTCAAGGTTATT